GCATGAGTGGCGCCCCTTGTTCTTGGATAGCTTGTATATGGTTCTCCTTGTAAAGGTTTGGTGAGAGGTCACTGGGTAGGAGTCTAGTGGTTGCATTGAGTAGTAGGTCAACCTTCTCTTGCAGCGCTTTGATCTCAGAGAATGCTGTTGCTAGTTCCTTGGAGTGTTGCTCTTTGTCATCCACATAGTCCCCATTGTTGAGTGCCATGTTCTCCACTAGTACCCATCCTTCATCTACATCCTTTCCAAGAAAATAGCCATTACTAGCTGTATCTAGGAGAATTCTGATCTTGGGGAGGACACCTCTATAGAGTGTGGATAGAAGCATTTCCTTAGTGAAACCATGATGAGGACACTGATGAGTGAAACCTCTGAATCTCTCCCATGTGTCTCCAAAGCTTTCAGTGGACCACTGCCTGAAGTTGGTGATCTCATTTCTGAAGTGAGCAGTTCTTGAAGGGGAGAAGAACTTAGTTAAGAAGGCATCTTTACATTGTCCCCAAGTGGTAATGCTGCCTTGTGCTAAAGACTTCTCCCATAGTTTAGCTTTGTCACTAAGTGAAAAAGGAAAGAGTTTCAGCTCGAACCATCATCTGACACACCACTAAGCTTTGTTAATGTGCATATCCTTTCAAACTGATCTAGATGCTCTAAGGGGTCTTGGTTGGGCAATCCAAAGAACTGCCTTTCTTGGATCATTGTGATGAGGCTGCTCTTGATTTGATATTGATCGATCTCCATGGGTGGGAGAATTCCTTGCCTTGAAGCATAGTTAGAGGGTACATCAGCAGCACCAATTGGTCTTCTTTCTCGCCGAACCAAAGATCCTTGCAAACCAGCTTGACCTTGTTCACCTTGTAAGCCTTGAGTTCCTGGAGGACCTTGTGGACCTTGCAAACCAAAACCAGCAGCATACTGATGTTCTTCCATGCTTCAACAGCTGAGTTCTGATTCTGCAAGCCCAAAATCTTTGACCTTGAACCTCAGTTGTAGTTGTAGACACTTGAGAGCAAGTGTTGTGGTACCTACAAAAGAAATTCTAGACCAAAAGAGAAATCAGTAACCAAAATAGAAAATAACAAAGCTTGATCTCAAGATCTCTACAAATCCTACTGAACAAAGCATTCCCCTAATGGCAACGGCGCCAAATTGATACAAGACTTTTTGGGATTTGACTCAATTACCCAAGCTTGTACTAATCAGTTGTAGTATAGCATGGGGTCTTATCAATCCAAAAGGGGAAAATGAAGCAGTAAGAATGCAGTAGAAATCCTAATTTACGCAGATATAAAAGGGGTTTAGAGCTTCTAACAACCTAAGTGATCAAGCAAAAACCAAACAAACACAAATAAGGGAGTAGGCAAGCAAATGACCAAAGTAGAAGTAAAAACAGAGAAAATTCAGAACAGAGCATAAAACAGAGAAAAGATGGGACTTGAGATGAGATAACTGGTGATAGGGAACTCTTGACTCTACTTATGATGCACAAACTCACACAATGCTATTCTTTATGCATAAGATTCATTTATATGACTAATCCAATCTCTTGGCACTAATCTTTTTGCTAATCACCAAGTCAAGAACTAATTCTCATTAGTGAAATGATAAGGAGCAAGCATTAAAACAAATCTATCAACCCTATATTGCCAAATCACTCCCTAGAAAGTCAATCTCTTGAGCTAGGATGAGCAATTCTCTTGCAAAGCAGTTCAGGCATTTCATCAAACACTTGGTGGGCATAAAATGAGTCTAAGATCTTAATCAACTTAGCTAGGGCTAATTAAGCATCAAACACAGCAATCAAGAAAGGAAATGAAAGAATTAACACTAAGCAATCATAGATAAAGTCTCAAATTCCCTAAACCTAACCCATCTCAAATTCCTAAAAAGAACTACTCACTAATCACCATTAAAGCCACCAAATCAAAGAGAGAAAGATGACTAATCATGATTAGAAAGCTTGAATAAGATGAAAGATGCAAACTTTTATTGAAAATGAAGCAAGGATTCAAATTACAAAATCCAGAGGTCTAAACAAGGAAGAAAGAACTTCTGGATAAAAGCTTGTTCCCAAAATTAGGGATTTCCCGTATTTATAGGAGTCTAGGTAAAAATGGCATAATTGTAAATAAAGGGTCTTCGGGCAGAGCTGGTATCGATCAGTTATGTCGACCTCCAGTGACCGAAATTTATCTGTATCTGTCATCAGTGATCGACACACACGACCAAAATTATAACGGTGTGTTTGTGTCGACCACATCAGACCGATTCTGGTGATCGATACTGCTCCATTTCGGTCACCAGAGACCGAAAATTCCAGGCTTTGACCGAAAACTTCTGCAGAGATCTTCTGCTTTCATCCTTCTTGCTCCCTTTTGTCCAGCTAGCCTCCTGGATCATTCCCAAAGCTCCTCCAAGCTCCTTTAAGTTCCAAAAGCACCTAAAACCATCCAATATGCAAGGAAAATGCAATATATACTCCTAATGCAACCTAAGTCTAAAAGGAGAAGAAAATGGGACAAAAGCTAAGGGAAAATATGCAAAAGAGGACCAAAACATGTACTACATGCAGCCCTAAATGGTCTAAATACAAGAGATATCAATAATGTTATTATATTATATTAAAATTTAAATACTGTGTAATTTGATTGAGTTCACAATGTATGATAAAAGGCAGGGATGGTGAATTCCATTGCTAATGAAGCTTGACTGGAGTACCCATCAGCTCGTGTTAACGAAGAGATATTATTCTAGTCATATCAACTTGATTTAGGAAGCCTTCCTAGATGAAACTTAAAAAACGTATATCATTTAGGAGACCTTCCTAGATGAAACTTGGTTTTACTTTTCTTGGGTACACGAATCTCAGAAAATTTGTGTAGGAGGTAGACACATCAATGATGTTGTTCAATGCTATACAATAGGAGCATGCAGCTTATTTCCACAAAAATTGGTTCCCAAGGGCTGCATTCTACAGCTCACTGTTCTTCAGTGAGCTGTTAGGTTTCCATAACATCTTCAAGAAGCCGTGGTGCAATAAACTTTTCCCTGAAAATGTGATTGAAGTTGTAAAGGGAAACAAGTATCCAAACAGAAATTGGAAGAAAGATGTTGATTTTTTCTATGGAATGGTTAAACCCAAAGCTTCTCTACACTGGATTGGTTTAGCTATAGAGATGAAGAAGAGGTGAGTTGAGTGTTTCAGCTGCATACATCGAAAAGAGCCAAAGGAAAGTATTTAACAAGTTGTCAATAATATCGCAGGTAAAGTGTTTCACCTACAATTGTTTTTTGTAATTTTGGATTACTTTCATGAGTTTAACTTGTGATTTTTTGTAGAGTTGATACCTGCACTACTTTGTGTTGCCGAATACACAAAACTGATGCAGGATCTCGTTCTATTAGAAGTGGTCTATGACTTTGAGGAAACTGTTGCAAAGTCCAGCACAATATCCAACTGTGGTATCTTTGTACTCAAGATGATAGAGTGCCACTCTGTAAAGATTGAGGACTTTTCAAGAATTTGTGATGAAGTTGTTCAAGATCTGAGGAGCAATCTGGTTTCAGATATCTTTGATCATTTTCAGAAAAAGTAAGACTTACAATTGATTTGTTTTTCATTTGAGCAATAGAAGCAACATCCAAAATTTTGGTTTATGATAGCTATCCTAGAATTGTGTTTTGGATTTTTTGTAGTAGTGTGTAATGTTTCAAATTGTCAACCATCTTTTTTGAGATTTGCCAGCGGGATCTTGAATTCACTGTTCTCTAGACTTGTTATGAAGTTGTTCGTATATTTTAAGACGAAATTAGGGATTCAATCAAGTAACATAACAGTGGTTAAAATGCTTATGAATAAAAACGGTTAGGAAGGTACAAAATTTTAAAATAAAAAAAAAACCGACCTTAATAGGGATTAAGGGACGTTATTGTCAAGTATACGAAGCGTTTAACCAATATGCCATGTTGTTCAACTTACAAGAGAATAGAATATTATATATTTATATATAATTTAATGTTTTTTGTCAATAGAAGGAAAAATTGAAATTAGTTTAGGAAGATATCGCGGAAAAGAAAGAAAAGAGTAACTATTGTGCTTTGAGAAAATATCTTGGTTGTAAACTCTTTCATTTCGAAAATATATTTAACTAATAGGTATGATCTCTCTCTTAAAGTACTATGAACATTTTCTAAAGTATAAGAAAATTTTCTTAACAACTTCATCTTCTTTAATATTATACTTGCGTTCCAAAAATTTATAAAAATGAGTTATAAAGTGCTCCTTGATGAAACCTTTTTCACTTCCAAATTACAAACACGATTCTAATATTTAAAAACCGAGCTTACATTTTCAACAATGTTCTTACTTAACATTAAGGATCATATTCCTATATTATAAAGAACACATCCTAAAATGTAAAAAAAAAATCTTAACAATTTATTCTTCTTTAATATTGTACTTGGGTTGTTAAGTTTGTAATGAATTATCACTTCATTCTTGATAAAAACTTTTACAAGAATCTTACTCCGTAAGTACTAAGACCATTTTGTAAAGTGTAAGAAATTTTTCTTAAGTGACAAACTTCTTTAATATTATACTTGCGTTCCAAAAACTTATAAAAATGAACTATAAATTTCTCTTTGATAAAACCTTTTTCACTTCCAAATTACAAACACAATTTGAAATTTTTAAAAACCGCCCTTAGATTTCCAACAATGTTCTTACTTAACAGTTAGGATCATATTCCTATATTACAATGTTCTTACTTAACATATCCTAAAATGTAAGAATTTTTTCTTAGCAATTTTTTTGTTTTTTAATATTGTACTTGGGTTGTTAAGTTTATAATGAATTATCAATTCTTTCTTGATGAAACCTTTTTCAATAATCTTATTCCTTAAGTATTAAAGAACAATAGATATTGCATTACTTCTTTCTTGTAAGAATTTTTTTTTAAGTAACAAACTTCTTCTCAAAATTTTCTTAGTCGTGAACAAAATAATAAAAAACAATAGATATTGCATTATATGTCAAAAATACAACATTCATAGATATTATCTTTGTACTGAATACATAATAAATCTGGACTAATATAAACACATGTGGTTCGACATCAAAAGCAAAACATTACACATCACTTGTGGAAAACATTAAAAAAGATTTTTGGTTACTTAAGCATCCATCATTACTTCAGCGTCCCACTATTCTTTAATATCCATAATCTCGTCTGCTCCACACAAACAATTAAAAAAATTGTTTTAGTTACATATTCAGCCAGCGAGAAGTTTATATAAAAAGAAATGTTCAAAATTTTACATCTTTTTGAATTCGTAAACTGCATCATCGGTTGGATTAAACATGAATTCAGAGCATGGGGAATGAGAGCGTATGACAATTGCATTCTCGTCGATTCCTACAACAAAACAAAAAACAGTTCGTAGAAAAACGTACTTAGAAATGAATCTTGCCATCTGAAAATGTGCAACAAATAAAGCAACAATTACTCACTTTTGCCTCTGAAATTCTCCAAAAGCGTAACACACAAACATCGGCTTCGCAAATGTATGTCTTATATGCTTCGAGAAACTCTCTTGTAATGGCTCCACAAGCAATACAGGTAATGATACATTTTCCCCAAACATAAAAGCAGAGAAAAAATATTAATACATAATAAAAATTCCTAAAAATCGTAAACACATGGGATTTCATTTACTTTGCATCCAGAATATCAAATTGGAGGTGAGCCAAGTCTTCTTCAAATGCATCATTGCTATGGTCTTCTAGCACATCCATCCTCAGGACCTTCTCCATTACATCTGATTAAGATCCATTGAAAAATTTATCTAAAAACAGAGCAGAACAAAAACATAATCGTCAAATAATTCTTACCAATTAGGCTTCCGGTCTTTAACTCTCGGTCCCTGATATACCGAAAACGAGGATTGTTAAGCAACATACTGTGAGTCTGAACCATATGATAAACACTATTGGTGCCCGTGTTGCCGTCAAACATCAGATGATGGTCGATGAATGCAGCGCACACGACACCAGAAGCATGCTTCACGTCGAAATTGTAGATAGTATACCAATGATTTTATCGGAAGTAATTAGAAAACTTCCACGTATCTACTGGCATTATGGTGGCCGATATGTGCATCCCCTGAAAAAAACATGACTGATTAAAAAAAAAAGCGAAATACACCAAAAGACATAAAAATTTAGTAACAGATAATAACCTGCTCGTCAGAGATTATCATCTACAAAGTTTCGCCAAGAAAGTTTGACTGTTTCCAAACCTTAAGGATCTGAACGCAGATGCACTAATTTCTCTTGTTTGTACTCAACTCTGCTATAGCATCGTGATCAGACAGTGTTCACATGAACATGTGATGCAACATTGTACATTTTAAAATGGAAGTTTGTGAATAGATCTGAACACGGAAGATGCCTTTTATATAGCAAAAGGTTTTTACCAGGAAACGACAAGTTCACTACAATTTACCATGAAACGACACATCCCATTACACTTAATAAACATTTCGCAAACGAAGGGATATGCGGTTATTTAAGATAACAGAATTTTCAGAGTGTTAAGAAGATATCCAATACATATAGGAAGCCGTAACATTACTTTAGGAAAGCTTTTGTAAAGACAGATTTAAAAAAAAACAAATACAGAGAAAAATATTTTTACCATGTAACGACACAATCTCTCTACTTTTACCACAAAACGACACGTCCCACTGCGCTTATTAACCATTTCACAATGTCATCACTTATTAAAACAAAAATGATGTAAAATTACTATTATTTAATGACTATTTTACCGACTAACCAATTGAACTCGCGAGAATATATGCATACATTTAGTAATTTGTATTTTCATTTATTGAGTTAGGAAGCTTTCTTCGTGTTTTGCATATATTAACATGAGTTAGGAAGCCTTCCTAAATTATAACTAGCAAAAAGAAAATGATTTAGGAAGCCTTCCAAGATGATACTTGGGAAAGAGTAAATAAGTTAACCGTGGGCTGCAAGTAGATGAATTAACCGTAGGCTACACTTAGCTGTTCAAGTGGAACAACAGATCAAGCGCAAGGCTCCCAACTACAACCGCAACAAGACGAATCAACCGTGGGCTGCAAGTAGTTCCAAGCTTTTAGATAAAGGGAAGGGGATAGAGATTGATTCACGTTTTAAAAACAAAAACACCGAGGCACCAAGGTTTAATAAACCTGAGCAAGGTAAGTTTTCTAGTTTTACTCAAAGAACTCGTGACATAATTTGTTTTAAGTGTCAAGGTAGAGGACATATGTCTAGAGAGTGCCTCAACAACCGCGCCATGATTCTCACCCCTAGTGGAGAATATGAGTCGCATGACGAGCTAGAAGAGGATTCAGATGAGGCTGACGAAGACATTCAGTACTCTGACAAAGGAGAGCTCTTAGTGACACGACGAGTACTTAGTGTACTTGTCAACCCCGAGGAGAAAGAGCAGCGAGAAAACATCTTTCATACAAGATGAACTATAAAGGGAAAGGAATGTAATCTCATTATAGATGGAGGCTCTTGTACTAACGTAGCTAGCAAGTACATGGTAGACAGGTTAGGTCTTGAGAAGACTAAGCAGTCGAGGACATATAAGCTAAGATGGTTAAACGATCAAACCGAATTGAAGATAGCCGAGCAAATCATCGTATCGTTTAGTGTTGGGAAGTACTTCGACCAAGTGTTATGCGACGTGGTGCCAATGCAAGCAGGACACTTACTGCTGGGGAGGCCTTGGCAGTTTGACCGAGCCACGAGCCACAATGGCCGTACCAATCACTATGCATTCACGCATAAGGATCGCAAGTATAATCTTGCCCCTCTTAGTCCTACCGAAGTGCACGAGCTACAAGTGCACATGACTAAGGAGGCCGAGGTAAGTAAGACCAGCTTATATCTTTCGGTTAATGATATTTCTAAAACCATGAGTGCCAAAGGCACCGTGCTACTGATGTATTTCAAAGAATTTTTAAGTACGGGAGTAGTTGACGTGACGATACCCGCCGAGGTACAAGCTGTCTTAAACCATTTTCAGGATGTATTCCCCGAAGAAATGCCACCCGGACTACCCCCTCTTCGAGGCATTGAGCATCAGATAGTCCTAGTCCCCGGCTCAGCCTTGCCTAACAAGCCCGCTTATAGGATGAACCCGGCTGAAACCAAGGAGTTAGAGAAACAAGTGAGAGATTTGATGGATAAAGGCAACATCCGAGAGAGCCTTAGTCCCTGCGCCGTCCCACTGCTGTTGGTTCCAAAGAAAGATGGGACATGGAGGATGTGCGTGGACTGTAGAGCCATCAACAACATCACTATCAAGTACCGCCACCCTATACCGCGTCTAGATGACAGGTTAGATGAGCTAAGCGGTTCTACTATCTTCTCAAAGGTGGATCTCAAGAGTGGTTACCACCAAGTACGAATGCGAGAAGGGGACAAGTGGAAAACCGCCTTCAAGACCAAACAAGGGCTGTATGAGTGGCTAGTCCTGTCATTTGGTTTGACTAATGTCCCGAGCACTTTCATGAGGCTCATGAACCAGGTTCTTAGATCATATATAAGTAAATTCATATTAGTTATTTTTGATGATATACTTATATATAGTAAGAACTAAGATGATCATCTCAAGCATCTTGAACTAGTGCTTAAATCACTTTGGCGGGAAGGTCTATGCCAACCTTAAGAAGTGCACAATTTGTACTAATCTGCTTGTTTTCTTAGGCTTTGTAGTAAGCGAACAGGGGTTACAAGTGGATGAGGAGAAGATCAAAGCAATACGGGAGTGGCCAACACCAACTACAATCAGCCAAGTGAGGAGCTTTCACGGTTTAGCTAGCTTCTACCGGAGGTTTGTAAGAGATTTCAGCACTGTAGCTGCTCCACTTACAGCCGTGATTAAGAAGAACGTACCATTCGCGTGGGGAGCAGCTCAAGAAGCCGCGTTCAAAACACTTAAGGAGAAACTGACCGAGGCACCGGTTCTTGCTCTACCGGACTTTGATGAGATGTTTGAGGTGGAATGTGACGCTTTTGGCTTAGGCATTGGAGCAGTACTACATCAGAGGAAGAGGCCTGTAGCTTTCTTTAGTGAGAAACTTAGCGGAGCCACGCTAAACTACCCAACCTATGACAAGTAACTCTACGCACTGGTCCGGGCTCTAGAGACATGACAGCACTACTTACTGTCTAAGGAGTTCATCATTCACACTGATCATGAGACGATGAAGCATTTGAGAGGCCAAACATTGCTCAAGAGAAGACATGCTAAGTGGTTGGAGTTCGTAGAAACATTCCCATATGTGATCAAGTACAAGAAGGGAGAATAGAATGTAGTAGCCGATGCACTTTCAAGAAGACATGCATTGATATCTACTACGGAGGCTATGGTGCTAGGATTTGAGCATCTTAAGGAGCTTTACAAAGATGACCCGGAACTTGGAGAAGCCTATCAACTACACGGCAAAGGAGCTTTCAGTTCATTCTACTTACACGACGGGTTCTTATTCAAAGATAAGCGCTTGTGCATCTCCCAAAGTTCAATGAGGGATTTGATACTTAAGGAGGCACACGGTGGAGGTCTTATGAGTCACTTCGGAGTGGATAAAACACTAACAATGGTGACTGATCATTTCTATTGGCCGCACCTTAAGAAAGATGTGGAGAGGCATTGCTCACGATGTGTTGTTTGTCACAAAGCCAAGTCCAGGTTACATCGACATGGCCTTTACTTATCTTTACCTATTCCTAACGCACCATGGGTGGATATTTCTATGGATTTCGTGCTAGGTTTGCCTAAGATCCGACACAAAGACTCTATCTTTGTTTTTGTTGATCGTATTTCAAAGATGACCCATTTCATTCCTTGTGACAAAACCAATGATGCCACTCAAACCGCCGATTTATTCTTCAAAGAAGTGGTGCGTTTGCATGGTTTACCAAGAACGATTGTCTCTGACCGAGATACAAAGTTCTTAAGCCATTTTTGGAGAACCTTATGGAGAAAGCTTGGTACCAAGTTGTTATTCTCTACCACTTGCCACCCCCAAACTGATGGGCAAACAGAAGTGGTAAACCATACTCTCTCTACTTTGTTTAGGGTTACACTTGGTAAGAATTTAAAAAATATGGCTTGATTGCTTACCCTTTATAGAATTTGCTTACAACCGTGCTATTCATTCAGCTACTAAGATGTCTCCCTTTTAAGTTGTTGATGGTTTTAACCCACTAGCCCCTCTTGACCTCTCGCCAATTCCCCAAGTTGAGCAAATTAATTTAAATGGCCTCAGGAAAGGAGAATTTGTCAAGAAGCTTCATGAGAAAGTTAGAGATAACATCTTGAAGAAAACCAAAGCTTACAAGAAGCAAGCGGATAAGAAACGCAAGGCTTTAACATTTGAGCCAAGAGAGTGGGTCTGGCTTCACATGAGACCTTAAAGATTTCCACACAAACGGAGTTCAAACCTTGCACCAAGAGGAGATGGCCCGCTTCGCATACTAGAGAAGATCAATGACAAAGCGTACCGTTTGGAGCTACCAGGTGAGTTCAACATTTCACATAGTTTTAATGTCAATGATTTATCTCCTTATGATGCAGATAAGCCAGTTTTGAGGACAAGACCTCTCGAAGGGGGAGGGAATGATGAGAACATCGACCAATCGCACGTACCGGGTCGAGAGAACAACAAGGGCATCGACCACCCGTTCGTACCGGGACGAGAAGAGTTGGAGCGGGACGTCGTACCACCAGTTAGCGGTTCACCAATGACACGTTCCAAGACTAGAAGGATGAGAGAAGGGATTAACGAGGCCGTGGAGACACTACTGATCAATATGGACGTGGGAACGCTACTAAACCCTCAACCGTATCCCGTTGCACCCGAGGAAGACATATCGGAGAACTTTGCCAAAATGTGCCTCAAGGAAGATTAGCAAGCTACAACCCAAGGTATGATCATTTACTTGACCGGAAATGGATCTCAAAACAGCAAGAATCTCACCAATGCCGTACTGGAGCGCCAAGATACAAACGGATCAAGTCTAAGAGCCGAGAAGACATCAATGGAGCTAGAAGACTCTTCAAGCCAAGAACGTGGAGGAGCTCTCGAGGAAACACACCAACTTGACTTCAGTGGATATCAAGAAGATGAGAGCTTCAAGGAACTCGGACTAACCAGCTCAAGACCGGAGTTAAACCACTACTTGCCAACCAAGGTACATGCGCGCCAAAACCATGTATTTTCAGTTTATACGATTTGTGCAGGTAATGAGGCTTGCCTCAGTGGTTCTTAAGCCTCCCAACACGCCAAGGCATCATCGGTTCGAGCCCTTAAGGCATCAAGAAAGTCGGCTTAGTTTTATTTCTTTTTAGCTTAAGTGAACTTTCCTTTTTTATGTATTTTTGCCTTTGTGCATTTTGTTCTTTTGTATTTCTTTGTTATGTCGTTTTGCTTTTATTTTCGGCCTTAGGGCTAGCTGACGAGCTGCTTATAAAGCTCTCCTGCAGTGTTGTATCTTTGGTTACCCTACATTATCAATAAAGAGACCGAACTTTCTTCACAAAAGCTTAGCCGCCGCTAGCCTTTGTTCTTGCTTGTTCTTGCGTGTGGATTCACCAAGTTCTAAGTGTTTGCTGTATCAGAGAGCCTTCCATACTCTTTGTGGTGCCATCGATTCATTACTTTCATCATTCATTGATCCTTCAAGGGAGAGCGTTAAAGCCAACTTGATAGATCCCATATCGGCTCAAGACTTGTTTAACAAGCCTTGTTCTACCACCGTCCATCCACTAGTCAGTATGAGAGAGCGACATAGCCAGCGTACTGACTCCATCATTCCATCACTTCTGCATCATATAAGCCTCCCATACCGAGTCTTATATCATTTGGTATCAGATCCGAAGATTCTATCTTTGGTTTTCTATCCCTTTACTTTCATAGATCCGTTGCTAGTTGCACTTGTTCTCACTATTGTTTGGTTTCTTTGTTTATTCCCTATTGAAAAACCCATAAAAGAATCGCTTGCTTGTCTTGTTTAGCTTTGTGTTTCAAGAGTTATAAAAAGAAAAACCCCAAAAAGAATAGATTTGTGTTGTTTGCTTCATTTCCATCACTTAAGTTGTTAGTTGCTTTCATAAAACCTATAAATCCCCATAAAAAGTTTTCTCTTTGTGTTATTGCGTGTTGCTAGTTCTATCTTTGATCATATTGTTTGATTATAAGGTTAGCTAGTAACTTTGTTAGTTGTCATTTCGTTGGTACCGTGACAAGTTTGTTAAGTGTTGCAAGGTTAATCAGCTTAACAACATGACTGAGGGAGCAAACTGTACACCAGTTGACCTCGCTCAAGTGCTAGCAGCCATGAGGGAGGACATGAGAAGTATGACCCAACAGATGGGTACCATTCGCCAAGAGTTTGGAGCTCGTCTTGAACAGATTGAAATTCAACCAAGGAGAGCAGCTGTACGAGGAGCCCCCGTACCACCAGTAGACCCGGGAGATGAGTTACAAGACACTGATGATGACAACTTTGATCCTCTCATTAGACGAGGACAAATGAGACAAGATCCCATACAAAGAAACCCAAACCGCGAGGTAAATGCTAGAGATACCAATCATGATTTAAACTAACACCTCCTACCTTTCAGGAAAGTCTAATCCCGAGCTATACTTGGATTGGGAGAGGCGTATGGACCACATACTTGGATTGGGAGAGGCGTATGGACCATATATTCGAGTGCTATGGATACGCTGAGCGTAAGAAGGTGAGCCTTGTTCTACCACCATCCATCCACTAGTCAGTACGAGAGAGCGACATAGCCAGCGTATTGACTCCATCATTCCATCACTTCCGCATCATATAAGCCTCCATACCGAGTCTTATATCAGCTATGTCTCTCAACAAAGTGCTTCACTACAAAAAAATGTCAGAACCACCAAGCTTGGTTGCCCTTATCTTCCAACTGCATTTCTCATCCACACGGCGTAATATACCCTAGACTTTCAAAATAACAAGTTCTGAATTCAAATTTCCTGTCAACTGCATGCTTCCTCATCTTCTGCATTAACTCTTCTTTATTCTTGAAGTATTGGTTCACATGAAGATCGTTGCTTCTTGCAGGCGAAGCTAATAATCCTATAGGAACTAGAGAACCATCTACAACAGGAAGCAAACCACTAAAATAGTTTTCCTTTTCAGCAGGTGAGCATGTGTCCTCATTAACTTCTATAACTGAAATGTTGTTCTCCACTAGTTCAGTTTGATTGTACGTGGTAGTTGAATGAGTGTTACTACCACTAGCCTAAAGACAACGTTATATCAATTAGAATTAGAAAAAAACAAAAAAACGCATATTTAGGAAGCGCTTCCACATTAGGAATCGAGTAGAAGCTGTTTTAGGAATCAGTTTCGGAAACGCTTTCTAAAATCTGTTTTCAGAATCATATTTTGGAAGTGCTTCCAAATTAGGAACCAAATGGGAGCTGTTTATGAATTTCTTTTGGAAGCGCTTCCTAAACAATCATGAAAACTGAGAATCGAAAATCATATAAGCAGAGAGATTACCTCTTCAGTTTGGTTGTACGTTGTATATGAATGAGTGCTGCTACCACTAGCATAAGACAATTAACAGTAATTAGAAATGAAAAAATAACAAACAAAACAAATATGTAGAAAAATCTAAGAAAAATTTAAAACTTATCTGCTCCAAAAGGTTAAATAAACATTGTTACATGTTCTGTTTGTGTGTTTGCTATCTTTGATTGAATGTTGTTAACAAAATTCCGATAACCGAAATGATTTCCTACACCATTCTCCAATGAGAAAGCGAAAGTTGTAAAAATCAGCCAATACTAAGTATGGACATGAACGTGTAAAATCATATTTGTTGCATAACAGATGCTTACCTCCTGCATTTGTCTACTAATCGTTACACAGAAACAAACGTTTTCTGAAATTCCCTTCACCTTGTTGATGAAGCTTTTCACTTGGCGTTCATTACGCAATTGAAGTGGAAAATCACATACCATGCTTTCCATCGTAAGGGGAACTCTGTAGGTGAGAGTAATTTCACCTACGTCAACCATTCCTAGATCTTCCTTTACATGCTGAAGAAGATCCTTGAAAGTGATATCTTCATCAATAAGAGAAATTTATCCTCTTTTGCTAATATCTACTTCAAAATCTCATTCATGATCATCTCCAAATTTTCATTTACCACAAACAATATATATCTCCACCATATTGCTGTAAATTAGAAAAGATTACACACAACTCAGTATTTGTATATGTTATACTAAAACAACAAGCCAAAATATATGCATACAAGCCAATTCAGGAACACTTGCAAAAATAGGAAGGTATTCCTGTACCTTCCTGGAATGCTCGAAGATGTCGTCTGATTGTGGCCAATTGTCGCCTGTGAAGCTGGGCAATGGTCGGAGTTCGTCGATTCTCTAATTGCTGGGGCTGGGCAATTCTCCTCATCGTCTTCTATCGCCGATGATCGAATTCAACGATTCTCCTATTTGATCTCCTCGTCGTGGTCGATTGTGAATTTAAAAACCTCAAAGTTGTCGTCAGTTATGGCCAATTATCGCCGGTGAAACTGGACGATGGTCGGAGTTCGTCGATTCTCAGTTGTTGGGGCTGGGCAATTCTTCTCGTCGTCTTATGTCGCAGATTATCGACGATTCTCCTATTTGATCTTCTCGTTGTGGTCGATTGTGAATTCAAAAAGCTCGAGGGAATCGTGAATTCAAAAAGCTGCAAAATTCAGAAAAAAACAGAACACTTCTTCGTTATTAAAGAAGGACAATTTGATCACTTTCAAATGAAAATGTTATGTGGTGGAATGTTTTTAGTGTGAAGGATATATGTGGAATCTAAACATAGAATAAGTGTATTAGAGGTCATTTCTCTAAAAAGTATATAAAAAATAATAAAAAGACCACAATATTTGATCGAGACTATTACTTTGAGTTTTTCTTAAATACTAGATTTCTTTAAAATCGTGTTCATAATAGTCAAGCGACTATTATTATTAGGGTTACTAACTTCCGGAAGGAGTTTAAATTTTGTATTATTCTAGTATATATTCTTGAAAATTGTGAAGTACAACAGATGGTGTGAGAGAGTTACATTCTAATGTTTTGTAAAAATCAAGGTTTGTTTGTTTTCTATGCAAATCTGGTGAATGACCATGGATGAATGAATCTTTTTATTATATATCAATTATTGAGTATTTAGAAGTAGTGTATTTGTGAATTTTCGGTTTTTTATTGAGTATTTCTTAGGAGGGGCTAAACATATATAGTAAGATTACAAGTAGGATATGTGACAGTCTTGCTGACCATGGTTAGTGGCTGTATATGTCCCTTGTTTCTATCAAGATTTCATGGCAATGAACATCGTTGGGCCTAAAGAATTGGTTAGAGAGATTGGTGAGATGGTTAGAGGAAACGACATTGGTTTCACAGGTTAGAGGAGTGTAGCAAATATCTTATTGCAAAGCAGTAAGCACATCATTTTGTTTCATTTTATTACCACTATTAGTTTGTTTCTCTAAGTGTTTAAACAAAGCTTATGAAGAAACAATTTATCACTCACTAGCACAAATGTTTATTTTTTCTTTTTGAAGTGGTTTTTATTTTTTAACAATTAAAAAAGTTAACAAATAATTTAAAATCGTCGTTTTCAAAATTTCTTATTTGGCATTTCAATAAATGTGCCAAAATATGAGCATGTTAAATCGAAACAAATCTTATCATCTCAATAAGGTTGTCATTGAATATTTTTCAACTTAATTGGATTTCGAGTTTCTAAACAGATCTAATTTTCTAATTTAAAATAAATTCGAAAGATTATTTATAGAAATATTATTAAAAATATAGTTTTGAAACTATTCTTAAAGGACAGTATAATTTTGGATTAAAAAATAGAAAATGGATAAAAAAATTATTATAATTATAATAAACATTGATAATTTATCTTTTCTCTATTATCTTTCTTTAAAAGACGAGAAGAAAATCTTAATCATTATTTGCAAAGTAAGAACGCACGAGAAAGCTTTTCTGAGTGATTGTTTACCTTTTATCCTTCGTGTGAAAAGACTGTCTTTACCCTTAATGAAATTACTTCGTAAAAACCAAATGGTTTATGTAGATTTGGTTTTGTTTTCAGTTGGTTTGTTTCAAAATCATTTTTGTTTTTTTTTTAAATTTGTGGTCTTCGTATAATTGTTTTAGCCATATAATATATCAAAACATTATTCCGTGTTAACCTTTGATAGCTTGCTATATTGTAATGTTTTAGGCTGCATTTTGTACATACTTTCCTTTGTTTTTGCATTATTTCTTAGCATTTAGTCCCATTTTGCATCTAGAAGTAGCATTGCAAGCATTTAGCTTAGGATTGCATACATGTGCATGTTTATGGTGTATTTCAGGTACTCTTGGAGAATTTGGAGCTTGGAAAAGAGACTGTAGCAGCTGACATCCAAGAAAAGGCCACTAGATGGACACTTGCAATTTATGCGTCTATATAGGGATGCAGCATCGAGCAAAGTACCCGTGGAGCATGCCCGATACGAACCGCAGTACGTGAAGAAGGAGACTTGGACGTGGTTGAAGACGGTGGTTTACATCGAGATGGTGTGTTGAGCAAGGAGCCGTACAAGCCGATTTGGCGATACAGGACATATCGGGTCCCAGCATCGAGGAGAACATCTAATGTCTTGCCCGATACAGCTTAAAACCCACTTCATGACGAGCATACAACCGGAAAAACAACTTACAGCAAGGAAGGTCTGCATCGAGATGACGCATCGAGCAGAACACTGTTCATACTGCCCGATGTGTCTCTTCAGCGCATTGACCAATCTTATCCTTTGACCTTATCTTAATTTTTAGGTTTTTTACCCTCTTTTTGGGTACTATAAAAAAGGAAGTAGAAAAAAAGTCAAGGGGATCTGAATATGATCGTATCTTATCCACTCTTCCTAGGTTATCATTTTCTCTTGAGAACTTTGTAAAAACTTTTGCTTTTTCTAGAAATTCTTGCATTTATGTTTTAGATATTGTCTTTTGTTCTTGATTACTTGCATCTTGGTAGTTTAGTTTATTGCTTTCTTTTCGCATCTCATCTCATCTAACTATGTTTAACTCAAACTTAATGAGTTTTAATTATGATTAGTGAATAGTTTACCAAATATTTGAGGTTCTAAGTAGGGAAAGTGGTTATTAAGGGTTGATTAAGGGTGTTTAGACTTGTTATTGATAATCTTTATTGCTTCCTTCTCTTGTAAAGCTGTTAATGTCTAGAAAGTATCTCCTTTTTGATTGAATATGATATGTTGATGTTAATGGTTCACTTGAGAGCTTGATGTCTTGTTTTCTCACATGATTCGATTATTTAGCTTGACAGTTTGGGAATGCTTATGGTTGTATTGAAATTGATTTTTCTTATACACCACTAATCTGATTCTCTTTAGATATCTTGTCTAGGATTGCAATATTGAGAAATGTTTGCTTATATTGCTTGTTTGAATGCCTTTACTTCAGAAACCCCTTAATCACTCTTATGACCACTTGACTATCATTGCTTAGAATCTGGAGTCTTGCTTTTGAATTCATAGTTAAATTCGCATATCATCTAGTTGCTCTTCTTTACTTGCTTTAATTTATCATCTTGCTTAGTTTTAAATCATTGCTTGCTTAGTACTTTCTCTAGTTTCAATTGCTTACATAATTAGGTTGTTTGTTTGGTTTCTTTACTTTAAAATCCCATCTTTGCTTAGCTTAGTTCATAGACTGCATCTTAAATCTCCCACAATTCGATTGACACCTCATCTATACTACAATTGATTAGAAGATGAATTTTTCCTAGACATAAAAAGTCTTTCTTCAATTTTGCACCGCTGCCATTGTAGAATATTTTTGAGTTTGCCTTTGCACTTAGACTAAGTCTTTTACTTTACAAATTAGCTTTACCATTTGCTCTGTTTTCTCAGGTACCACTTGTATGAACTTGTGATCTAAAGGCTCCCACAACTTAGTCCTGGCCATTGGCAATATACATCACCTTGACCGTGGGGTTAAGAGAAGAGCTATGAGGCCGCGAGTTCAGTTGCTCGAGGAACAGAACATGGCAGAGCAGGAAGGTGATCAGTTACCACATATAGAAGTTGTTGGACAACCTCCAATACCGTCTGTAGCTGAGAACTTAGAAGAAGTTCACGAACCAGCTATAAACAATGAAGGTCACAATGAAGCTGGTGTACATGGACTCAGACTACTAGTGCATACTCCATGATTTTGAAGACCTATTGGTGCCGGCCATGCACCAGACACTTATCCCAACTGTAATGGGCTCAATGCTCCACCAGTGCACCATAACCACTTCAAGATAAAGCTCGGTCTTATCAACATTGTTCAAGGAAACCGCTTTCATGGCTTACCAAATGAAGACCTGCTTGATCATCTGGATCAGTTCGACAAGGTGTGTGGTATGACAAAGATTAAAAGAGTATTAGAGGATGCGTTGAAGCTAAGGCTCTTTCCCTTTGGCCTTGGAGATAAGGCACACCAATGGGGGAAGACACTTCTCCAAGGTTCCATCAGCACTTGGGACGAGTGTAAGACAGCATTTCAAAACAAGTTCTTCAGTTCTACCAGAACAGCTAATCTAAGAAACACCATAACCAGCTCACACATCATGGAATCAAAACCTTTTGTGAAACATGGGAGAGATTCAAGTCTTACACCCTCCAATGCCCACATCACAGCTTTACAAATGAGATCTTGCTATCTACACTCTACCGTGGAGTCAGTCCCAAGTATAGGATGCTTCTAGACACTGCATCAAACAGAAACTTCATGGGAAACAGTGTGGTTGATGATTTAGCTTTGGTTGAGAACTTAGCTCTCTCTGATGGAAACTATGGAGATGAGTGTGATAGGACTACAAGAGCTGTTGGAAGCAATGAAAATGAGAGCTCTAGAAAGCGATATATGAAGGTTTTGAATGATAAACTTGACAAGCTTTTGAGTGTATCCTTGAAGAGTGTAAGCTTTGTTGGTGAAGCTGATGCTACACGAGAAGAGGATAGAGCAGTTTTAGAAGAAGAAGCCTTTTATATGAACCAACAACCTTATGGAGGTCTCAAAAACAACCACAACCATCCCAATCTCTCACACAAGAGTACAAATGTAGCTAACCCTTAAGATCATAGCTACCCTTAACAAGCTACTTAACAAGCTACTCAACCTCGGTTTCAAAACCGACCATTTGTTCCATACTCTCAAGGATATGTTCATAGGAACAAATTTCAAGAGAATGGTTTCCAACCAAGACCCTTCTCACCCGGTTTTGTCAACTCAAAAAACCCACAAGGAGGTCCAGAAGAAGATGATTTGAAGAAAATGATGAAATAAGTCATCAATGGTCAGGCCTCTCTCACTATAGACATGCACAAGCGCTTTGCTGAAGTGCATAACAAGATAAAGATCAATGATGGTGACATTTACTCAAAGCTAGAAGCCTTATCCAACCATGTGAAGTCCATTGAGAGCTAGGGATCTTCTTCTTCAAAGCCTCAGAATCAAGTACCAGGAAAGATTGAAGCAAATCCAAAGGAATTTTGCCATTTCCTTAATGAAGATGAAGATGATGTGAGTGAGGAAGAAGATGCTGCATTGGAAGATCTTGGGTATATGCTTCAAGGACACTTACTCCATAGGGACATGGAGGAATCTCAGCGTGGGGGG